CATTTTGTTTTATGCTTTTGCCCCTTCTCTTCCCCATCAAATATTTTCTTCTCTCTTCCCTCTTTCTCTTGACAGATTTGACCCTCATTGCCTATTTTGTTCTCTCTGCTTTTCCCTCTGTTCTTCCACTTCCCCATCATCTTCTCTCGCTTCCCTTTTTCTCTCTCCACTGATTTGATCCACATTCTCCCATTTTTTTCTTTGTTGTTCGCTCTATCCTCTTCCTCTTCCTCTTCCCTATTGAAGTATTTCCCAATCTCTTCCTCCTTTCCTTCTTTCTCATTTACTTTTCTCTTCCATCGTTCTCTCTAGGTTCAGCAGTGGAGTCTCTTCCCTCTTTCTCTCTCTAGGTTCGACAGTGGAGGGAAGGGGGACTAGAATGTCCACTGGGAAGGAACCTCGTCCGTCTTTCTCCCTTGTTTCCCGCTCTCTCTTCCCTCTTTTTGGGGACCAAATCTCTTCCCTCTTTCTATCTAGGTTCAACGGTAGAGGCAAGCGAGGCTACAATGTCCACTGGGAAGGAACCTCTTCCCTCTCTCAGAAGGTTTAGCAGTGGAGGTTCTCCCTTCCTTCTTTCTCTCTGGGTTCAGCAATAGAGGCAAGTGCGGCTAGAATGGCCGGCCACTGGGGAAGAAAAAGACGGGATGAAGAAGAAGCGGCTTCAATAGGAAGAATTGATTATTAATAGAAGGGAGTAGAATCCATTGTTAAGGTTTTGAAGAAGAGATGCCATGTCCAAAGGATTTGATCCCCCTTCAAGCATGGGTGCCTCAAGACTTCTTAACCTATCTTATCTCCCTCTCTTAAGAATCAAAGTTATCTACATGTCTCTCTAATCCATCTTGACCTTGTTGAAGTGCAACATCTCCAAACCTGTATCCCTCCCTCTCTCTCTATCATCTTCCTATGTTGAAGATTAACTCAAAACCCAACTCTCTTTCTCTACGGGTATGTTTGGTTTGCGCGTAAATATTCCCTGGTAAATATTTACATATGTAAATAGTGTTTCATACGTTTGATTCATTCAAATGCAAATAAAATACCATGGTAAAAGTTTTTACATGGTCTAATACATGGTAAAATAAAACCACACTTATTGAGGTGGGGAAACATTTCCCGTGCACTGGTTTTCAACACCGGAGCCACCCAAATCATACAATCGAGTTGAATAAACCCATGGGCCCGTGTGACCTTCGTCTCTCTCTCTAAACCCTTTGAGGAGAAACCATCCCCTTGACCCTCGTCTCTCTCCCTCTCTCTTAGCCCTCTGCGTGTGGAACGTGGGGAGGCACCAACGGCCCTCCTCTCTTTTTTCTCTCTCTCTCTCCCACACAGAAGCCATCCCCATGACCCTCGTCTCTCTCTCTTTCTAAGCCCTCTGTGTTCTTCAGTTGAACCACAGATTCAGAAATCAGGTGGATTCAGAAAACCATATCAGCCAAGTTAGTAGTTTTCCAGTGAAATTGCAGAAATCAGGTGGATTCATTGCTGAGAAACTGAGATTCAACAAGATTCTGGCGATTGGCTTAGGGTTCGATAAGAAGAGCTGCAATCTTAAAATCTCTTTTCAAAAAATTGGGAGGCGTAGGAGAAGGAAGAAGAAATTTGGTTTTTCCAGTGAATGAGGATGCAACCCACCAATTCATTCTGGTACAAATATACTTATCAATTTTGGTGGTTTTACCTGGTTTGAATCGCCGACACCCTTCTCTTTTCTTAAATTTGGGTTCAATTTGCTGAAAATTTAGGGTTTGAGGCCTCTATCTGTAGAAATGGAGTTTGATAATCACAAATTCGGTGTAAATCTTCTCTGAGAAAAAGCCTTAAGAGGATAGTTTTTATGATTTAGTCCAAATACTGTTTAATTTTAGTTTATTAAACCTGATTTTTACTGTCTTTGCCATTGATGTGTATAAAAACAGAGACGACCATGTTCATTGGGAGATTGCTATCAGCCACAGCAAAAACAGTCATGCACACTTCTGCAATCAATAGTTAAAGTGATAACATTGTAAAGTAATAAAATATTGTGATTGACAAAATACAAAACTGCATTCTGCTGAAAAAGTTATTCGATGTAATTTTATACTCTGTTGACTGTGAAATAAGGAGGCAGACCCATTTCATGGCAATAGCTCATAGCTGATGTTTAACAACCAGTTAAGGGGTGGCAATGCTAAATAGGTAAGTCATTAGTTCTGTGTTTTTTTTTTTTAAATTGAACCTGGAACACTTGTTAATCAGAGGAAAAAATGATAAAGCTGTTAACTTAATCTTCCATATAATCCGTCATGCTTTCCCACATTTCGCATACATGATACACAATGAAATTGCTTTCTTTTATGACAGGTAACATTCATTAGGAGTGAGAGAAAGTATACATGAGTTGCATTCAAGTTATAACAATGGACAATGGGAAACTATAATACTTTTAAACTAACCCATTTCTATGCAATATGAAAATGGGAAGCATATGATAATCCAATGGACAATGGGAAACTATAATCCATTGAGCTATCACTGAAGATTGCGATCGATTAGAACATTATGGAGCCCAAAATGGATTATTGTTTGATAGAATGTTTGCCCCAAAATGGATTTGATAGAAGGTTGGATCAAATACAGGCAATCTGTATTTGGCTAAATTCATAAGAGAGAGAGAGAGAGAAATGATGAAATAATGAGGTAAATATTTCCACCAACCAAGAGCTACGAAACGTACGAAACTGATTACGCAGCGCTTTTTATAAGTGCTTCCAAACATATGGTAAAAAGAATGTATATCCAAATATTTTGATGTTTACATATGTAAATACTTTATATGTAAATATTTACGTGCGAACCAAATGTATCTTAAAAGTACTTATAATGAATAGGGAAAATAGGTTTGATCCCTATGTTTTTTCTGTATGGTACTATAGTGAATATGATAGCTGCTCTTGTCTTAACCTGGAGATAAAGGGTTTTTGTTGTTGGGTGAGAGAAAGAGATGCAATTCATGGGTTTTTGCTATTAGAGATAGATATGAAATTCATGGACTGGGTTTTTGGTGCTCTAAACAAGAACCATGAAATCATAAAAGAAAAAAAATGTATTGAAATTTATGGGTTTTTGTTGTGGGACAGAGAAATAGAGATGCAATTCATGGGTTTTCTCTATTTCTGGAGAAGTGAAGCTCGTGGATTGGGTTTTTGTTGCTGTTGGGGAGACACAAAAGAATTCATGGGTTGTTGTGAGAGAGAGATCTGAGCTCGTAGAGAGAGAGGGGTTTGCTCCAATGGAAGAGACAGATTTTATAGAAACATGGTTAAACAAGACTAAAATGACATTTGATAAAAGAAAGGTAAAAATACTCCCACACATCATAAGACGGATTATTCCTTTATTTTGAAATGGTACCTAGTATTTTTTAAAACAAAAAATACTAATAATTTGAAAATCTAAAAGTAGGGCCAATTGAAAAAGTTTTCAAATGTTTGAGGTTTTGAATATTTAAAATCCACGGTGGCAAAAGTGAGGCCTTTTCCGTCCCTAAGAAAAAAGAGAAAATAAATGTAATTGAAACATCCAAACCACAAAAAATTACTGAGACGGTCAAATCAACGAATTAGTAATATTAATATCGAAGTTACTCGTGTCATTTTATTTAAGTACCTTCCCAATTATTTCCTTTCCTTAAAAAGTACTTAAGGCGTATATTATTTTCCTAAGCCAAGTGACATTAAATCCTTGTCGCATGTGGAATCCAGAACAAGAAGAATAATATATAATATTATCAAAGTAACTTACTTAAAGTTAATTATTGATTAATTTGACTACCTTAATGAAATTTGAGGCTATTTTACTATTTCAAGGACATTTACCTTACTATTTCAAGGACATTTACTTAAAGAAAAATAGACGTACCATAAGTTGTAAATGATTTTGTGCTTCTATAAAGAAATATAAATCCGAGGGGTCTGTAGATGGTTATAGGGCAATACAATTGCAAATGGGTTCGCATTGATAATATAGTTAGTTATCTAACTTTTTCGCATGTTAAAGCAATCAATTATTCGATAACTTAAAGTTGAAGTCTAAAAAATTCAATACCAAATATAACATCAAGGTTTACTTGGAAAATCTTTAAAAGAAGGGAAAATTCATAGGCACATGATATTTATTAAGCAATAAAAAATTAAAATGATTCTTCTCAACTCAATTAACCGTAATTAAGGATTTTGCAGCAGGAAAAAAAAAAGAAAAAGGAAAAATACGAGATTGACTATGTGATATCAATTAATTCTCTGTGCTATTAATTTCCGTATCTTCCTTCCCCTTCTTAAAAGGGTAGTGGCCATCTTCTTCTAAACCTTGTTAGAGAATAGCGGCTTCAACCATACAAACATTCCGGAAGAGAAGTCCTATGCAATCTTTTGAGTACCTCAAAAAAACCCTAAAAGGATAAACAAAGCACTTAAACCTCTCGTGGTCATAGCCATTTATGAAGAGGTTTCCTTTCTACAGTGCACAGAAATATCACCCAAATTTGGGGCGAAAATATTAAACGATGAGGTTTCTATAAGGTCTAGCCTTTACGAGAACAAAATAAAGCTTCACATCAAATCCACATCTAGGAAATACTTTTGGCAATGGAAATTTCATGATGATATAAAATAAATTTCCAACACAGACAATAAAATTGGAAACTTCAAAAAGGGTACAGATTTTGTAAATATATGAACATTCATTTTTAGGGTGAAATCCAATATACACTACTTTTAATGCTTGAAATCCTAATTTTTTTTCACAATCATAGTGTTCAAGCTGAGATAATCAATATAAAGGTCTGCTTGAATTGTAATTTTCAATTAGTTATGAGGTGAGGTTTTATTTATTTTGATAGAATTACAGCCCTGTCAAACTATTTTTCAATATTAGATTTAAACTATGTTTCAATATTAAATTGGGAAGGTACTCTTTTGGGTGGACTTAGCAAAACTCAGTTACCAAATAATAAAGAAGCCCCCAGAAAAAATCTCTTCTTTTTAACAAAGATCCACTGGCATCTCGGGTCAGTCTGTTTGGGTCCAAGCTCCATACGCCTCGACTCTCCCGCCGTCCCGGCTGCCGGCCTTCAACTGTCGGAAAACGTTCCACGCTGGCCGTTTTCTTCTCTCCACGTTCTCTGAAGCGGCTTAGTTTTTCAAGATTTTGAAATTCCGGCCATTAGGTACCGGAATCTGAACCCCAGCGCGCCTTTCTCGCCCCTTCTTCTTTGATGCTCTCAGATCAGCTCAGGTGAGGCATAAACTGGGTATTGTTTCTTTTTTTTAATCTACAGTTCAAGAATTTGAAATTTTGAGCTTTTTGCTTTCTTTTTCTTTTTAATTTATTATTCTTGATAAGGGAAATTGCAAAGAGGATTGTTGGAAATGTCAGGGGAAGGAAATATTATGGCTAGAAATTTTTAGGTCAAATTTTGTGTAGAAATATGGGTAAATTCTGCTTTCTCTCTCTTCCCCCCCTTCTCCTTTCTCTTTCGAGTTTCAGTTGGTATTTGTTGATTAAGTCATTTATCAGCTCTACCTGGAAAATTATGAGAAAGATTGGCGTTTATTTGGAGTAATTGATTTGGTTTCGAACTTCTTTAATGAATTTGTGCTTATCTGGAGTAATTGATTTGGTTCCAAACTTGTTTAATGACAGATTGATTGATAAATGTCCAGGGAAATAGTATGATGCCATAGTTTTTCCCAAACTGATGAAAAATGACATATATTCTTTTGACATCTTAAATTTTCATTGGTATCTTTTAGCATTTGTTGGAACTTGGAATGAACATTATAAAATCTTCATTTTGCTTATTGGAGATTGGCTCTGCCATTATGCATATAGTGTTCTGTGCGATTTTTTAGTATATTGTAAATTGTATGAAGCACTATACGATAATAGTGCTTACATTTATTATATAAGTGTTATTAGAAAATGAATTACAAGTGCTTGTTGTATTTAATGCTATTATTCTTGAGAGTTCTTGGCAATGCTCTCGTTTCAAGGTGATGGTCTGAGCATTGGAAATTGGGCATATCTCAATTAGGAATTGTTGAAACATGGGGCTGGTTATTTTTTAAATTTGTTTTGTTCCTCGATTTGGGGACATTCATATAAATGATGATGCATTAGGGTACCATATTTTTTACAAAATATATTTTCTTTGACTCTTATTTGTGTAAATTTTGGAGTTTTGGGCTTTATACAAATTTTGATCTTTCTCGTAACTCTAGATTATGTTATTCAGATTTATGAATTGAAATGTCTTTCACTTGGCAGAAAAATAAAAATAAAGAATCTGAACGGTTTTTAAATGTCTTCATTCTAAAATGGTGTTTTATTTTGGTGCTTCTTAAATTAACTGTATTTCCAGTTTGAGTTCCCTAACCATATGTTAAAATTTAATAGATGAAAGAGAATAGACGAAATTAAGTCTCGCAAAGCAGGGTGGAACATGTCCTCATTGAAGGCGTCATCCCTTCCTCTTCTTCTTGATATAGAAGATTTTAAGGTAAGGACTGAATGTCAAAGCAAATAGGACCATTGGTAGGTACTAAAACAAAAATCTTATTCTAATACATTTTTCATCAATACAATTATAGCAGCTTGAACTTAATTCTCGAGCTTTGAGCTGCATCAGCCTCTGACAATGCCTCTTTCCTTGTTTTATAGGGAGAATTTTCATTTGATGCATTATTTGGGAATTTAGTGAATGAAATTTTACCGTCTTCTCACGATGAGGAGAAAGACTCATCAGATGGACAGGATTTGATGCCCAATGGGCATCTCCGAGTTTCTTCCGAAACAACAAAACCAACACAAGGACCCCCTGCTCCTTTGTTTCCGGAAGCTGATGCTCTCCTGGATTTGTTTAAAGACTCATGTAGAGAGTTGGCTGACCTTCGCCATCAGGTTTGTTCTTAGGATTGTTGATAATTAAGAAGTACTACGAAGTTACTAATACTGTCATTTTTGCTTATGGGTTTCAAGATTGATGCAAGGCTGAGCGATTTGAAGAGGGAAGTTTCTCTTCAAGATGCCAAGCACCGCAAGACACTGTCTGAGGTTAGTCTGGTGGATGATAATACCTTTTGAATTTCATCTTTCCAATGAATGAAAATTTGGCCGCCTTGCCGCCTAGGCGGTGGGGTCTGGTCGAGCATGCTTGGGGGGGGCTCAAGGCGGGCACCCACCTAGTGCCATACCTTAAAAAAAAAAAATTCAAATCCACCCAAACATGGTATTGCCCTTGTCTCTCCCTCTTTGGTCCATGTGCTCTCTCTACATATGGGAAGAAGAAGATAGAATCCCAGTGTTCGATGCAGAACCTCTCTCTCTCTCTAACACACACACAAACACACAGACACACACGCACACACAATATACACATGGACCCATATGCTCCCTCTTTACGTGTAAGAAGAATAAAAAGAAGAAGATGACCTCCAAGTGTTCGATGTGAGGTCCTTCTCTCTCATAGACTCTATCTCTCTCTCCTTACATATCCTCCAAGTGTTTGAGACCTCTCTCTCACAAATAAATATCTGAAAAAAAAAAAATAAAATAAAATAAAAAAGAGGATGATCTTTAAGAATTTCATGCGAGACCTCACTCATACACATACTTGCGGATGCACATACACACACTAAATGCATACACACACACATACACAAAACACACACACACACACGTGGCCCCCACCTCAACCCCCTTCCCTTAGGATCTGGACTGCCTAAGCAGCGGCATCTGCCTTCTTGAACATTGCTTGTTCCTTATACTACATGTTGTTTATCTGGTTCTTCATTGCTACTGTATGAATTATGAAAGGTGTGGCTGTATAGATTTCCAAAGTTTAAATTAAAAAAAATTCTTTTTTTTTATTGATAACTGGAATTTCAACTTACAATTGCTACAATACATTGCAGAAATAAACATACTATAGTCTAGGATCTTTAATTCTTTCTGCCAAATAAAATTTTATTAAAAATTGAATTCAAACTTAAAATGCAAGTTCTAATACAATTAGGAATTTTAATCTAAGGAGGAGCCTTAAACCAATTAGGAATCCTAATCCAAATAGGACTTCTTAATACAATTAGGAATTCTAAAAGAAATATGACTAAAAAAACTAAAATAATTTGGTAAAACTTATTTAACCTTTGCCTAGGTTTACCCCCTTATGACTTAGCACACTCCACATCCCACACCCCACACTCGATTACCAAACCGATGGTGCATTCTATCCTTTGGTCCTGCTGAATCCACTAAAGTGGAAAGCACCTCTAGAGTACCCTTTTAATTGTGCTGGGGCTGATAGTATGGGCTGCTAGAATGACTGAATGAGGGTTTCTTTAGACCCCTTTTCAAACCTTTGGGCCATGCCACTATGTGGCACCTTCCTTTAATCTAGATGGGCTGGGTGTGCGTCCTCGTTCTCCCCTAGGTGGTGCGTGCCACCCCTAGGTCTATATTCCGGGGGTGCCACTTGAGAGAGAGAGAGAGAGAGAGAGAGAGAGAGAGAGAGAGAGAGAGAGAGAGAGAGAGAGAGAGAGAGAGGAGGAGGAGGAGGAGGAGGAGGAGAGAGAGAGAGAGAGAGTACGAGTACGTACGTACGTACGTACGTACGTACGTACGTACGTACGTACGTACGTACGTACGTACGTACGTACGTACGTACGT